CCACAATTTACGTTACTCATCTCACCAGAATACTGCCAAAACACCAAAACACAAAGAACATAACACATGAACAAGCTCGATTAGCTAAACATAAACAAGCTCGACTAGCAGCAATCAAAAACCTCCAACGAAACCAGAGATCAACAGAAAACTCGATTAGCTAAACAGAAAGAATCAAAAAAACTAATATCTAACCTCGTCGTCGATCAATTATGGAGAATCAGAAAAGATTCGCCGTCCCCTGTTTCGCAGCCGCTGCTCGCAATTTCTCTCTACAAAAACCGAATCCAACTCGCGCACACGTCGATCAATTATGGAGAATCAGAAAGCTCGATTCGAAGCTGCTGCTCGCAGTTTCTATCGCCGTCGATCAACAATGGAGAATCGCCGTCCTTATTTCTCAGCTGCTGCTCCCCCTGCTCGTAGTTTCTCTCTCCAAAATCCGAATCCAACTCGCGCACAGAAAAGATTTGCAACGGACAAAGAGGGAAAGTCATTTAATTCAAATATAAAATATCGGACAAAAATGCCCCTGACCGTGGACAAAAAACCCCGCATCAATCACAGCCACAAGATCCGTCCCGCCAAGATCGACGGTCCCTATGTGGTTACTCACGGGTGAGTAACAAAGGGTTACTCACCCTATCCTAAGCCCCCTGGCTGATAGTATAGTGTTTCGTCGCAGTACAACACATTTCGAGATAAATGGTACCGTCGCAAGAAATGCTGACCTTCAGCGACGAACTTTTTGTGGCAGTCTTTTTCTCTGCGACGGACGATCAGTGTTCATCCTTGATAGTTTGCGACGAGAATACATCATTGCCGGAACTGTTAATCTTTGTGGGTTCTTTTGCTACTTCATCTTGTCCTCCTTGTTTATAAGGTATTAATTAATAAATAGATGGTATAAACGAAAATATAAACTAGCCCTTTTGATAAAAGCACTGATAAAATATACATAATTTCGTACAAGTTGTTCGCTCTATCAATAGAAACTATACATGAACTACTAGTTACAGTCATTTACCAACTATGGGTGGGATGACACAAATATTGTTTTTTTAAAATTTACCACCAATATGGCGGATTAAGAAGTATTTACACAGATATTGTGTTTTGGAGACAAAAAATGGCGAGAACACCTGGGACTCAGGCGCCGCCGCTGTGGATGACATTTTGGATCGTTTTATTTAAAGTGACAGCGGCGGCGACCAAGACTCAGGTGGCACCGCCTGAAACACCAGCGAGTTAGGTGGGAAATTATCCCAGGCGGCGGCGCCCGAGACTAAGCTGGCGCCGCCTGAGACATCAGCGAGATCGAGTTAGGTGGCCACCCACTATATAAACCCAGCCAATTTCGTTTCGTTTCACACCACAAAAAAAAATTGTCCAAAACAAAGGAGAGAGCTCTGGTTGCTGCTGCAAAAATGGCTAATAGGTAAGAGACACATTTATTTTTGTAATTATATTATTCAGATGCTATTATGATTGTGTTTAGTTTTAATTAGTGAGTTTGTTTTTTTGTAGTGATTTTAGAAGATTTGAACTAGTCGTTCGGTGGAAATCGGAGAAAGTAGAAGATAATTTGGGCGTCAAATTCGTTGGTGGTAGTAGTTTTCAGATGACGATTCCATCCAGGGTCACATATCATTATCTTTGTGAGAATCTAATTCCGAGAATACGGCGTAGAGACGAAGCAGTACAAGATAGTGATGTGATCACAGGTTTCACTTACCGTCTTCCAGAATGGCAGAATGGTGTTTTATTTCATTATGCGATGCCTATTGTGGATGATGATAGCTTGAATGTGCTTTGGAATTTTATGGCACAAAATCCTTATTGTTTGGGTGCTGAGATACATGTTGAGCTCAGTGAGGATCAGGGTGGAGAGGAAGAAGATGATACATGGAGCGTGCCATCCGATCATGACTAAGATGACGGTGATGACGGAGAGGAGGAGGAGGAGGAGGAGGAGGAAGAGGGGGAAGGAGAGCAGCCTAATTATCCTTCATATTTTTACTTGCAGGGTAATGAAGAGGACGAAGAATACTCACTTGTTGATTCATATGGCGTAATTCCAATGCCTGTTGTTGATAGTTTTGAAGGAGAATTCTACAAGGGGTAGATATTTCACTCGAAACAAGCTGCACAGATGGCGATTAAAAACCACGCACTACAATGCAACTTTCAATATGGCGTGGTGGAGTCGTCACCTTCAATCTGGAAGGTCAGATGCTTGAGGCACAAGGATGACAATTGTCCTTGGATGATGCGGTTTGGATGTCGAGATGTTGGAGGCGAATGGACTGTGAGAAAGGCTGAGTTGGTGCATTCTTGTAGCAGTACGACTCAACCGACGGATCATCGCCATCTTGATGTCGACATGATAGGCCGTCAAAAATTTGGTACGTGCCCAACCAAATCTGAGTGTTCTAACTGTGCAAGCCGAGTTGAAAGATAAGTTTAATATGCAAGTTACTTACAAGAAGGCTTGGTATGGGAAACAAAGAGCATTGGAGAAGTTGCATGGAAATTGGGAAGAATCCTACGATTTTTTGCAAACATTCTTGCGGGTAGTCAAGAGAAAAATGCCAATATCGGTGATTGATTGGGTAAGAGTTCCTTCGACTCAACCAGGTCATTCGGTATTTCAGCGAGTATTCTGGGCTTATGGACCTTGTATAGATGGATTCAAGAATTGTCCAAGCGTCATGGTTGTTGATGGAACATTTCTTACTGGGAAGTATAAAGGAGTGCTACTCATGGCGAGCTCATTTGATGGTCGGAAGAAGATTTTTCCAATTGCATTTGCCATAGTGGAGAGCGAGAATACTGAGAGTTGGCCATGGTTCATAAGGAACGTTCAGGGTTTGACTGATCGAAATGATGTATGCATCATCTCAGATAGACATGCAGGATATGAAGCCATGAATAACATCGGAAGAGGTTGGGAGTGGAGGTGGTGCATGCGACACTATGCAAGCAATTTGCAAAGGAAGACTAAAAGCAGAATTATGTATAAGCAACTATTTCGAGTCGGTAAGCCTTCTTCATTTAATTATGTTATTTATTTTCATGTAATTTTGTCATGAATTTATCTAACCCGTGTGGTTGTTTATTTTGTTAGCTGGAGAAAAACGGTTGGAGAAGTTCGATCGTCAAGTTGAGCAATTTAAGAAGGTGGCCAGTGATAGAAATATTTCATGTGATAACTGGGTTGATCAACATCAGATTCGTTGGAGTTTAACACATGATAACTACAACAGTGGGCGTCGTTGGTCTATGCTGACATCCAACATGGCAGAAAGCATCAATGATGTTTTCAAAGGTATTCGTGCACTTCCTATAGCTTCTCTTGTGCAACATACCTATTGGCGATTGGTGGAGAAATTCGATAAGTACAGGTTGGAGATAGGAGCAGAAATTAGAAGTGGTCCTTCACAGTACTCCAACAAGTGCGAAGAGCTGATGAAGTACTGGTCACAAAAGGCAGTTGGACATTCTGTGACAGCTCTTGATCGGAGTCAAGACATCTATGTAGTTCAGACTCCCCCCAACAATTTCAACATGACGGGGTCAAACACACTCACAGTGCACTTTGACGACCAAAACCGGGAGGGATTTTGCACCTGTGGTAAATTTCAAGGAAATAAAATTCCTTGCTCTCATGCCATTGCAGCTTGCAACCGAATGGGGGCTAATGCGTATAGGTTTGTAAACAATGTCTACAAGCTGGAAACAGTGATGGCTTGTTATGGGACAAGTTTCGCACCTCTTGGTGAACCTAAGGGTTGGAAGAAGCATAATGGTCCTACTCTCCATCCTAATGTGCACATGATTAGGAAGCCGGGGAGGCCACGAGTTACAAGGATTCACAACGAGATGGATTGGCCAAGGGAGGGTGCATCACACCAAGTGTGTAGCAACTGTAACCAAGCGGGACATAATGCATCAACCTGCGGTGGCCAAGCTAGTGGGAGTGGGAGCAACCGAAGAGGGAGTGGTGGCCAACCAAGTGCGAGAGGTGGTAGAAGAGGAAGTAGAGGTAATAGACGTGGCTGAGAAGTTTGTTCAAATGTAGTAGTTGTTGTATTTCCTTCGAATAATCCTGTAGAAGTTGTTGTAGTTTGGTATGTAGTTTTTGTATTTCCTTCGAATAATCCTGTAGAAGTTGTTGTGGTTATGGTTTTTATCGTTAATAAAATAATAACATAAAAAATAGTCCAAACATAATAGTCCACACATAATAATCCAAACATAATAGTCCACACATAATAGTCCACACATAATAGTCCAAACATAATAGTCCACACATAATAGTCTAAAGTAAGTACATAATAACAATCCAAAAATAAGCAAACTACATAATAGTCTCACTGACGACCACCACGACGACCACCACGACGACCACCATGCTCCACCACTAGATGGCCGCCAGTACCACACCTCGCAGCCACCCTGTTACGCATAGGTCGACCATCGTACTCCTGGGGCTGATCTTCCTCGACACCACCATCCTGATCCTGTGTACCGAACATATCATCCTGCTGAGACTGAAGATGCTCCTCAGGCTCACCGCCACCATGCTGCTGAGACTGCAGATTTTGCTCATAATTCCACATCGTCTCCTGAAAAACTTGATCACCCTCTAGGCTGTCCCACAGGTTGGGAGTCGAGGCTGCTCTAGTATCACCACCTGAAGCCATGTTTCCGCCTCCCATCGTAGTATGCTGCGGTGTATGGAAGCTATCCTCTAGCTGATAGAAGCTCGAAGACGGATCTGACTGAAACTGCTGTCATCGCGGTGGCTGAAAGCTCGAAGACGGATCTGACTGAAACTGCTGCCGTCGTGGCGGCTGAAAGCTCGAGGAAGGATCTGACTGAAACTGCGACCGAAGCGGATTAAACTGGAAGCTCCTCGATGTAGGCCGGATGGGCTGTGCTCACTGTCGATCTGAAACCAGGAATGGGTTAGGTACATCACGATGCTCATGTCGCTGTCTACATGGCCTATGCTCCTGTCTGAACTGTGGCTCTGGGGCGACCCAGTCCGGTGTCGGATCAGTACGCTCTGGCCAGCCAGTCATGACAGGCTCCGCATAATGGGGCTGTACAGGTACTGTGAGATCAGGGTATCTACGCTGCTCAAACCCTAGAGTAGCAACCCCGGATGCCATAAGGTTGGCCACGTCCTCACACTGGTCAGGGGTCAGCCCTCCAGCCCTTACACCGTCACGCAAACTCACCTCAGCATGCTCGATAGTGTCGTACTAAAAAACACCAACAAAATGTCAGATATTTCACACAGTTAACAACAAATTAAGCAAACAAATCAAATAACTAACCAATGCCTCCGCTACAGCTCCTCTCCGTGTGCCGGAACGTCTGGTGACATCTCTATACCACTCCATATGCTCCGAGTGGTAGGCTAACTCCTCATCAGTGTATGAAGCTGTCGCTACAAACTCGTGTCGACGGTTCCAGAAATCAAGCGACTCTCTGGAGGCGTGTACCAACTGCTGCCCATGCGATGGCCCACGAGTAGCCTGGCGAAGAAAAAACCTAACCTCAGCCTTAGGATGTGGCGGATGAGGCTCATGCTGCCTCATGCCAAACTGCCGAAGCACGCGGTCTGGATGATGCCACATCACCGATGAAAAGCAGATAAGTGGCACTACTGCTCGAAATGTCTCAGACTGTATCACACTACCATTGAGATGAAGTGCTCTCTCACGGTAAGGTTGCCACTACATAGCAAAAATTTAACGTTATTATCCCTAAATCTAAAAAAATAAAACAAATGAAAACTATTCTATAAAATGGAATGTTATATACTAACCACCACGGTGTCCATCGCGTCAAACCACAGCTTGTACTGGAATAGCTGGTCACCATACTGACGACTGCTGGCCGAAAGCCATCAAAGACCACGTGGGGATGCATCCTCGGTGGCCTGTGCCCTCGTCTCTGAATCTCGAGGTGTCAGATGTGGGAATCGCTCCCACGCCCAGAACTGCAGTAGGGCGACCCATCCACCAAGGTCACCGGCTAGAGAAGTGCCGGTATGCGTAATGTGCAAAGTCGACCTACCCATCTCACGGTACAGGTAGGATAAAACAGCAGCTCCCCAGGCGAACCGTCCAGCCCTCTGCCAATCCTCAATCAGAAGTAGGTACTGTAGGTGCACCGTAGATCCAGACCGATCCGGGAAAAGTACACCTCCAATCAGAGATAGAGCATAAGCTCGTGCAAACTGCTCTATAACCTCCTGTGATGCATCTTCAGGCAGATGACTGAATTCAACCCTCAGCCAAACAATCCTAACAACAGCGACACCGCCTACAAGATCAACCGGAACCCGTCCTAACAGTCTCAAACAGATCGCCGACCACTCCTCATCCGGTATATCAACTACGACGGCATCACCGTCGATCGCCAAACCGGACAGTGTAACAACGTCCTCTAACGTAATCGTGATCTCACCACACGGTAGATGGAAGGTCGACGTCTCGGGTCGCCACCGCTCTACGAGCGCAGTAATCAAACTCGCATCGGGGTTCATAGGGACTAGGGGCACGACACTTAACAAGCCTGCCGCTTCGAGATATGGCCGATAAAGCTCATGGTAAGGTACTAAAATGGTCGTACCTCGAACATGGTAAGATCGATCACCAGCCTATAGTGCACAAAACTTATATTAATTCATCTTCATTCGTAATAATTCTAATTTCACCTAATTAATTCTAATCTGTCTAATCTAATATCAAATTATACTAATTTCAAAAAATCTGATACGTAATCCTATTCTCTAACAGTACAGTTCAGTTCACCAAATAAAATAATCTAATTAGCTAATTAACTTTACATGAATAATTATCAAATACTTACCTCGTTTGTCCAAACAGAGTCGATACGATGTTGGCCATGTCCCCAAAGAAGTGTCGCATCGATCGGACCTGGATCAATTGTCGCCGGCGGTAATCTCATCGAATAAGGATCCATAAGCCTAGGAACTGCAAAAACAAAGCAACAAAACATTAAAAAAAAACACAAACCATTAAAAAAAAATTCAAGCCGCCGACGAGAGTCTCACCGCGCAATCGGCCGCCACGACCTCGTCGGCCTCTCCCCCTGCCTCTGCCGGCGACGACTTCTTCTTCTTCGTCGGAGGACATCTTCTGTCGGCAGCGGCGGCGGCGCTTCACAAGTCAGCGGCGGCTCTCTTCTCTGCGGCGGCGGCGCTCCACTCCCCGGCGGCGGCGCTCCTTGCTGCGGCGACGGCGCTCCACTCCCAGGTGGCGGCGCCTCAGTTGGCGGGGCTAGCGGCTTCTCTGGTTCGGGCGGGGGGGTTGGGGGGAGGGGGGTGAGGAGAGTGTGTGGTCGGGAAGAAGAAGGAAGAGGAGGAGAGTGTGTGGAGGAGGGAAGAGATAAGGGTGGGAGGGGGGGGGGCGAGCCCGAGGGGCATTTAAAAAAGATGCTTCTCAAATTGAGCTCCAAAGTAGGCTTGACAAACACGTTGCCAGACTTAGCCATTTTCAGGCAGTTTCCCAGTTTTGGCATAGCCTTTTGGTCAGGTTCAAAAATGGTCTTCTGGACTTTCTATTGAGCTCCCAAGTACTTTAATGTGTAGAGGGACACTTCAGCTTCAATACAAGCCTTTAATCTCCAATTTCCTTCTAGCCAATTGTAAGATATGAATCTCCAAAGTAGGCACCATGAAACTGTTTTTACACTGAAACAACAAATTATATCGACCTAATCCTATATGAGGTCGACCGAAAAGTGCATGTTACCGTGACATGCATGTCACCGTAGCAAAGTCCAAAACGTTATAATTCCTTTGACTTGGTCATGAAGAGACCGGCTACGTAGAAAAGAGCTTCTCTTTTCTCCAAAATAATTATATAATAGAAACCAATGCTTCATAATTAAACTAATAATAATAATCAAAGAATTCCTTCTCCTGATCGTAAAAGAATTCCTTTTCCTGTGCGTAAAAAAAAAACCCCTTTGTTCATCCTAAATTTAAGTCGGCTCTCTCTTCCCTATAAATAAGCAGCTCCAGCCTCCAGGCGTACAGATTCTCAGATCTTCATCAACCAATCAGTAGCTCTCGCTTTCTACAGAAGATATACCTCGGAGAAGTCAATCCAATTGCGGTAACAATGTCGGCGGCAGCGGCGGCGGAGAAGAAGTTGATCACTCTGAAGAGCGGCGACGGCGAGTCCTTCGAGGTGGAGGAAGCGGTGGCGATGCAGTCGCAGACGATCAAGCACATGATCGAGGACGGATGCGCGGGCGACGGCATCCCGATCCCCAACGTCACCGGCGGGATTCTGGCGAAAGTGATCGAGTTCTGCAACAAGCACCACCAGCAGCCTCCTGGATCCGACGCCGCCGAATTGAAGAAATGGGACGCGGAATTCGCCAAGGTGGGCCAGGACACCCTGTACGATCTGCTTCTGGCGGCGAATTACTTGAACATCAAGGATCTGCTGGAGTTGATCTGCCAAACTGTGGCCGACCTGATCAAGGGGAAGACGCCGGAGGAGATACGGAAGTACTTCAATATCGAGAACGATTTCACCAAGGAGGAAGAAGAAGCGATTCGGAGGGAGAACCAGTGGGCGTTTGAGTGAAATTCGGTCCGATGAAAGAAATATATGTATGCATGGTAGTTGTAATGGTAGCTATAGTGGTAGTACAAAACGTAAACCTGCTTTGTGTTTGAATTTTGATGTTACTATAAGGGTTTATGTATGGAGTTCAGTGGAAGAGACGAGGTTATTTATTTGTGTTTCAATGTGAATGTTTTTTTCTTTTTTTATAAATAATGGTGAGACATGTATTAAAGAAAGTTCACAAACAAGTGCATCAGCAGCAGTGATCGCACTACAAGAAACATCATTTTTAGGCGACTGACAATTTCGTAGCTCAAAGGTCATTTCGTAGCTCAAAGGTCAAATACTCCGTTCCAAAAGATTCTGATAGTAAGTTATCATCGCCAAAGGTTTATGCGACGAATTTAACGATTTTGTCGCTAATGATGCAGTCCCTCGCCGAAAGAATATGTTTCTGCGAGGATGTGTTGGCCTTCAGCGAAGAACTATTCCGCCGCAATCCTTTTCCTGCGACATATTTGTCCGTCGCTAAGTGTGTCATCAACGACGTTTACTTCCGTCCTGATAGATTTAAAAGTATGCATCATTGCTAGAACCGTTAATTTTTGTCTTTGTTTATAAAGTATTAATTAATAAATAGATGGTATAAACGAAAAATTAACAAAACCCTTTTGATAAGCACTGATAAAATATATGATCTCCTACGCTCTATCAATAGAAACTATACATGGACTACTAATTAAAGTCATTTACCAACTATTATATTAGAAATCTTTAGATGTGAACCTACTATATATAGCACTATGGACTAACAATATATAAAATCATGCTCATGCGAAAAATAAAATGGTCTTGACAATCCTATATAGCATCCTCTTCATTGGTAATAAATGTGAAAATAGAAAATCAAGGTTGAAAAGTGGAAACTTAGGGAACCAATTAATCAGTGAACTAATTAGCATGAACATTACACGTACACACTTCTTTCTCTTTTTCAAAGTTCAACTGTCCATGAGACCATTTGTCAATAAAAGATTCACATCTTCCATCCAAAACCAAAAGGCTCTAACCCAAACAAAGACTTTTCACTAAGTGTGTACACTTAAGGTGCAACTGATCAGACCCATAATAACAAATCAATCTTTTACCTATATTCATTCTAACCAGCCACTGCAGGAATTGTCTATGTGTTCATGGTCGAGGCGATTGGATACCAAGATTACAATTTACAGGTTTGATTGCCATCCCTTTGTGGGTTTCTATGATATTATGCCAGAACAAAATGCACATCTCCAACGAACAATTCCTTGTCTCTCGTGAGTAAGAGTTGGCAACAGTCAGGTTCATTCTGGACCGAATCGTATCGAATTGATATTTAAATCGAATTAGACCATATCAAATATATATTGTGATTCGATTTTGGTCCTATGAATTATTATAAATATGAAGAAAAGATGGACCAAAACTAAATACGGACCGAACCGAATTAAATCAAATAGACCAAACATACTTTTGATCCGGTTATTGTCCTCATTTTTCCTTTGATTTTGATCCGATCGTATTTCAATACGATCCGGTTCTGGATCGAGTCGATCGGGTGCCCGTGCTGGGCTCGTGGCTCGCTCAGTGAAACCAAAAAATTCGTCGTTTCTCACATAGGGATGGCAATCAAACCCATGTCCACGGTTGGTTTTGAATGAAGGTTGGGGTGCTTTTGCATCCATTATAAAAAAAAAAATCTACATGTAAAATATTCCATATTATAATGTTGGATGTACGGGGCGGGTATTAACCATGGGTACCCGAAACCCATGGGTATGGGGATGGGTTTGCAAAATCTTCCCCCGCATGGGTATGGAGCGGGTATGGGTATAGATATTTGAAAGCGGGGATGAGGATGGTTTAGGCAAACCCGCCCCATTGCCATCCCTATTCTCACATCAGTAAAGGGGGTTAGGGTTTCACCAAAAAAGAAAAGGGGATTAGGGTTCTTCCGTGCATCAGTAAAGGGGGTTAGGGTTTCACCCCAAAAGAAAAGGGGATTAGGGTTCTTCCGTGCATCCATGGCAAAGCCCTCTGTCTCTTCCGCTTCACGATCAGGGAACCCGACTCTTGTGTGTTGATTCTGCGTAGCGAAGAGCCACGATGAAGCGGCTCTGCGAGACGAATGCTAGTAGGATTGGCGGTCTTCCCGCTGAGGTGATTCGGCGCCTTCTGACGTTCCTGCCCGTGAAAGAGGCATCGAGAACCAGTCTCTTGTCAAGGGAATGGAGGCATCGCTGGAGAAGCATTCCTCAGCTTGTGTTCGATGACAGTTTTGCTCCGGCCCCTGAAAAGGGTGATTGTTCACCGGATGATGGCAAGTTTCTGATGCACATTTACGAAGCTCTGCTGCTCCATGAGGGGCCAATAACCAAGTTTGAGCTCGCTATTCCTGGACTTGGGCGCTGCCACCCTAAACTTGACCTCTTGATGCTTTACCTTTCCAGCAAAGGTGTCCAGGAGCTTACCCTTCTCTTTTCTGGGACTGGTCGTTGCGGGCGATTGCATTCCGCCCTTTTCTCCGCCATTCATCTCAAGCGCCTAACACTGCAGCGTTGTAGATTCACTCCGCCATCTGGGTTCGAGGGATTTCCTAAGCTTACCCATCTCCAATTGGCGAATTTATGGTTGCCCCTCAATTTCTTTGAGCATGTCCTTCCCAAGTTCCCGCTGCTTGAAGAATTGAGGGTTTTACCAGGTTGTTACGGTTATAAAGAGCTTGCATTTGTAGCGCCTTCCCTAAAAGTGCTTTCATTTCACTCGACTCTTTGGAAATTATGCTTCAAGCATACCCCAGTTCTTTCAGTGGTATCAGTTTTAGACCCTGGCTTGTGTAACTATGCGGAAGACAACTTTGCGGACGATGTTCCGGATATGGTCCGCTTATTTGAATCTCTCCCTGCACTTCAGCACCTCAATCTTGGAGTTGAATTACTGCTGGTAAGTTAATTGGCTTTCTGTGTGATTGTCCATTTGATGTTGCCGCTGCTAGCGTCTCTACACAATCTAATGCTGCTGCTGCTTTCCTCAGTCCCTTGCTGCTGCTCCACATGTCCCCTGCCAGCTTCCCACATCTCTCCGTAACTTGAAATTCCTCGAAATACCCCGCCTTCTGTTGGATAGGTTGCCACAGGCACAGGTTCTTGTTTGTCTAATCATGAGCTCGCCCAACCTGGAAACACTCACCATTCGGGTAAGGTTCTGTGGCGAATCTCAAAACTTCTCGTGTGCTATGTATTTGTTCACTCTGTATCTTAAGATGCCGTTTATGAGTGCTTTTGTAGATTGATGATGACAGTTATCATCCCCCTTCAGGGGTCATTGCTAACCTAGTGGAGTTGTTGGAAGCTGAGGACCACCCTGGAGTGTGCCGTCTTCAACATCTTAAGGAGTTTAACATTAGGGATAGCCGTGGTACACAAGTTGAGCTAGACCTGGTGAGGTTCGTACTTGCCACTGCCCCGCTACTTCATAGGATATCTGTTCTGCCTTTAAAGGAGTTATCCTCCAAAAAAGTTGTGAGGTTCTTGAAAGAGGTGACTTTATATAAGCGTATTTCTAAAGAAGCCGAGCTCAAATACCTCTGGGATGATGAGGTCGACAATTCGTAGCTTTACGCTTTCACCTCTCTCGCCCTTTTGGATTGTTATACATGTTTTAATTATGTGAGGGTGCTTGAGCTGATTTAGTTGAAATGAGTTAGGTTTGAATGTATTGTTGATAGTTCTGACTCGTGACTCATTACTATTCTACTAGTCTAGCCTTACCTCTTTGTGTTTAGTTCCTTCCATGAGCATTGTTCCTTGACAAACAAGAAATCAACATACTGAGCACAGGATTGAAAAGATCATTTCAAAGGAAGTCTTTTGATTACTAGGGGGAATTAGGGATCCAACTCTGCCAATGATTTTGCTTGGCGATTGGAAAACCATTATCTAGTTGAGGGTGCGGAGGTGTCTGTAAAGGATGTTACTCTTTTCGTTGCTGCAATTTTGTGGATTCTGCTCTGATGGATTGATGTTTCATTCAACTGCGTATACAAGCTACCGTTTCATTTGATTGAATCATGGTTGGAAAATGCACGCTTAATTTTATGCTCAGGCACCCCTAGGCGCATGGCAATGGCAAAACGCCACGCTTAGGGTTTCACGCCTAATTAGATACTGGAACACATCAATGAAGTAAGGCGACATATAAGTCTCACCTAAACATTACTAGATGGATCTAGGAAGTCAATATTAAAGGAGAAAATTCACGTTAACTACGAAATCAATTTTCTATATCAATATTTTCAATAGCTCAAGAACGTTGTGAGCTATTGAGCTATGATTCTATAAATTCATGAGCTATGTTCTTGTCATTAAGTGTTGAGTAAGTTATTAATAATTTTAACTAAAGTAAGGAAGTGTTAGATTATTATTTCATTTATCATGCAGTGTGAATAGCTATTTTTCTTCCAACACCTAAGCACGCTTACTCTACGCCTAAGCGAGCTAGGTGCTAGACAAAGGCTCAACGCCCGCCTTACGCCTAAGCGAGCTAGGTGCTAGACAAAGGCTCAACTCCCGCCTTACGCCTAACGCCTTTTGAACCCTGGAATTTTGACATTTTTATTATAATTAACTTAAACAAAAAAGAAAAGGCACAAAAAATAATATTCATTAGGACAATATTAAGATGGGAAATAAAATATCCTTCATCTTTTCTCCCTTTGTTTTCGTCTTCTTCTACGCCTCCTATCATTGATTAACATCCAAACCGTTGTCACCTCCCATCTCATAGCACATCGGAGTTCAATAAAAGATTTGACAAAACTCGACAGTTATCACTCGATTGGATATGATGAAGGAGGAACAACCTATTCTATTGGGTTATAGGTATAATATGCCCTCTACTATGACGTTTTATCAAACATGCCCCTCTACTATTTTTTACATCAAATATGCCCCTGTACTTTGAAAAAATTATCAAACATGCCCTTTTGTTAAAATTTCCATTAAAAAAATCGTCAATCGTGATTGAATTGAGATTTAGACGACCCGACATCGACAAATGGGAGGGAAAATGTCAGTTTTGTCCCCTATTTTATTTCCCTTGATCTTTTCAAAGTGAAATTATTTGAATGATTTGATTATACAAAAGAACCAAAAAGATTCTAAAGTGAATTTATTA